AAATCAAACATTTTAACGAATATGTTTTTATTTTTCATGGTATACGTACGAATTGATATGTGAATATACACCACAATAAAAAATTATTACAAACAAGATGAGCTTGAGAGAAGTATGAATTATCTATTATGGATTATGTAACTAAAGGTTACCCACATGAAATAGATAATGGGTATTTTCGTCATTTCAAGTCAAACTTTGGGTACTTTTACAAGTTTTTGGGAATTATTGTCTATTCAGGTCGGATACAGGATAGAAGACCGACTAGGACTCTATGAGTGCCTAATTGGAAGCCTACATTTAAAAACTGTGATTTCGATTTTCGTGGTGACTAAACACAACGGGAGCTAAAGCTGCTAAACCAATCCAGTAGAAACTAACTGTTAACAAAACCCTATTTCCCCTCGAAAACCCTCTCTTTTCAAATTAGGGTTCGAATTTTGAAACCAAACCATGGCTCGAAACGAAGAGAAAGCTCAGTCCATGCTCAATCGATTCATCACGTTAAAAGCCGAAGAAAAGAAGAAACCAAAAGAACGACGTCCTTATTTGGCCTCGGAGTGCCGTGATCTCGCCGAGGCCGACAAATGGCGCCAGCAAATCATGCGAGAAATCGGCCGCAAAGTCGCCGAGATTCAAAACGAAGGCCTCGGAGAGCACCGGCTCCGCGACCTCAACGACGAGATCAACAAACTTATTCGCGAGAAATCGCACTGGGAGCGGCGAATTGTCGAACTTGGTGGGCCTAATTACACTAAACATTCCGCGAAAATGACGGATTTAGACGGAAATATTGTTGATGTTCCAAACCCTAGCGGGCGTGGGCCCGGGTATCGGTACTTTGGGGCGGCGAAGAAGTTGCCGGGTGTCAGGGAGTTGTTTGAGAAGCCGCCTGAGTTGAGGAAGAGAAGAACTCGATATGATATTTATAAGAGGATTGATGCGAGTTACTATGGGTATAGAGATGATGAGGATGGGGTTTTGGAGAGAGTGGAGGCGCCTGCGGAGGTGAAAATGAGGGCGGAGGTGGAGGAGGAGTGGCGAAGGATGGAGGAGATAAGGAGGGAGGCAAAGAAGGCAGTGAAGAGTGGGGAAGTGGTGAGTGTTGGGGTTTTGAAGGATCTATTGTTTGAGGAGGAAGAGGATGTGGTGGAGGAGGAGAGGAGGGAGATTGAAAGGGAAAAAATTGAGAAGGAGAGGGAGTTTGTGGTGCATGTGCCATTGCCTGATGAGAAGGAGATTGAGAAGATGGTGGTTGAGAGGAAGAAGATGGAGTTGTTGAAGAAGTATGCAACCGAAGACTTGGTGCAAGAGCAGAATGAGGCAAAAGCGCTGCTTAATATTCAACGCTAGATAACAAGAATGACAATGATGATTGTAAGATTTTGTGAAAGAATAGTTGATTTATTCAATTGAATGCTTATGTTTTTGCTCAGTTGATTGGAAATTTGTTGATATTAAATTTTATTTACGTTCTTATTATCTTTCTATAATAGACACCAGAGTTTTGATTTATGCACATACTGATATTTATATATTGTGTCTACATGAGTGTAGACATGGAGAAAGTCTAATTGATTTTTAAAAGACCAAAATTAACTTTTCCCTAGTAAGTTAACTCATTAGAACCATAAGTTTTAATAGAGTTAAATTCTTAATCTCGGGGGAGAAATTGGGGAAGAATGTGGAGTTATGCAATCTTACTGTGAGCCATTAGTGTTGACTGGTGCTTCCGCAGTTAGAATATAATTATTATATGAAGGAAGCACCTGAAATTATATAAAATTAGATTTAAAATTCTCTTCATTATTCCCTGAAAGAGAACTTAAATACGATATAGCCTTCAATTTGTGAATTTATTTTAGAGTCTTGGAGTGGGTTGGATGGGAAAGAGTAATATTTTCTTGCTAGTGAGGCTTTTAACTAAGCGACCAGCTTTGGTGTTGAGCATAACATATTATATAGTATTTTCTGTTGTAATATGATTGATTTATGATATGAGTTTGTAAGATATGTTATAATGGAAAACCTTGAGATGTATAATTTGATGCAAGTGTGAATTTGGAAAATATCTGAATAACAGGGGAGATATTTTTTGGAATTTTTATAGACAGGGAGGAAGACCTTGTTTCAGGATTAAGGGACCATAAACTCTTTAAATTTTGAGGATGAAATTTCTTAAGGGGATAGGATTGTAATACTCCTTAATGATTTATATATGAATTTTACCAGAGAAGAAATTATATTTAGTGTAATTTTAACGAAGCCATTTCATTTTATTATGGTAGTGAGTGGTTCATATATGTGAAGCTGGATTTTCTAGTCTCCAACAGGAATGTCTTCAGGGACAAGGTTGATAACCTTTTAGCCATATACAGAAGAAGGAAAATTAATATAGAAAAGGTGAGAGCAGCCTTGTGGTTGTGATGGAGTTTGCTTGCTTGAAAGAGAGAGGGGGGATGAAAAAGGAAAAAGGAGTAGAAAGCCACCGAGCCTACAGAAAGAAGAGAGAAGAGTGGGAAGCAGTGGGAATGAACAAGAAAGAAAAGAGCATGAGAAAGAGAGAGAGAAACCTAAGTAACAAAGAGAGGGAAGACTTGGGGTGAATCCTCTGGTGTGGTATTTTGTTTTAGGGCTTCTTGTTCATTGTAGATCAACACACAGGATCAGATTAAGACTGCATATTGATTGAAAATCTTCCTGTGTATCATTTGTGAATTAATGAGAAAGAGAAACAATGTTGTTCGACTTTTAAGATAAAAGTTGCTAACTGAACCAAGTCAAATTTGAGGTGAAACAGAAAATTGTTCTAGTTCTGTGGCACTTATAGTGTGGATCTTATGGTGATTAAAGATTATGCAAGCATACATTTCCTTGCTGGGTATTATCAGTAAAGCTAAACCAGTTACATAGATTCTCTTACAGCATCCAATAAATAATAAGAAATGTAGCTTATGATATGCAGTTCTCTTTGATGTGAATTAACTTTAGGATTGATTAGAAACACCTTAAATTCTTAACGAGGCTGCAGTGTGATGGTTTCTGTCAGCTGCTTTCTTCCTGATATGTATGAACTTACTTTTCTTGCTATTTGTTCTGATCAGTCCGCATGGTCTGATTTGTTTTTCTTAAACAGTTCCGCCTGCATCAGACTTCTGTTCGAGACATGTAACGCTCTGTGACAGAGAAACTGCAATTGGCCTTTTCTGTGAGCTGCTCCCGTATTTAGTTCCTCCTAGGCATTGATCTTGCACCTCATTTCACAGTTGCGACAATAGCTTTATATCCCAAGAAAAGTACATTGGTGCCAGTGGTGACTAGATTTAACATTGTAAGGCGCACTTGAAAGCTATATATTGAAATTATCGATCCTGTTTAAATATGTAGTATTTGTACCAGATTTTTTGTTCATAAATTTAAAATCATGATTTTTCTGATTAAAATAGATGTGCTTTAGCATTTCCTTAGTAACGCTTTTGTTATATTTTATCACTGGGAGCCTTTTATGGTTCACAAAATGCTCTTGATGTTCTTGATTTGGTCAGGGTTAAAACCATGATATGCCCCAAGGAATAAATTTCATACTACATGGTATCATTGTGTAACCTCCATAACACCTTCAAATGATATTAGCATTGATTTAGTTGTTGGTATTGATCGAGAGTTAAATGTCATAACAAGTCAAACGTTGCGGCAGAACTTAACATTATTCTTCTGGCAAATCAAACGTTCATAGTAGACTTTTCTAACCGGTTTGAGACACAAATACTTGTAATTATTCCAGCATTTCAGTCAACATATTTCTGGGTTCGCGTCTCGGAAGTTACCTGTACGCGTTGTGCAGCGGATCACTTCTGTCAGAACACGGCTTTCATATTATAAATATCCTTCTTACTTCATCACACCTATGACCTATTCACGATTAATCTTTCTATATTGAAGTCTGCAAAGTTAATAACATCTTCCTTATTCCTAATCATGGCGCACTCTGATCATCTACAAGCTCCTGGTAAGCGATCCACTTCCATTAATTTGTTTTCTTAGGTTGAATTTCGTGCATGTTCTCAAAGTTTAAAAGAACAAAAACAAACACAAAAAATAAACTAGATAGAATAATCTTATCAAGTTCATTACATTTCCTGTTATTTAAGTTGTTTTTCATTTTGATTAAGAGGGTCGGATTTTTGGAACTTTTATCTACTTTCATATGATTTTTATTTTAGCAGCGTTAATATTTCTGACTGAGGAAACTGTTGTGATGGTTTTAACCTTGTTATAAGAATTAATTATTTTTGTGGAATTTTAAATTAAGCAATCCAGGAATCACATTTATGATTTAACTATAGTATTTATAATTTTTCTGTAAATTATAGTGAAAATGATGGTGTAATATACTAGTCATGGTGGAAATTTTAATATAACTATGATAATAGACGTAAATTGTTATTCAATAATACTTTAGGGGATAAATTGCCATTAACTCTATTTATAGTTAGAATTTTGGTGTGTAACAGATTAATTTAGCACTCGATGGATAAACTTGTCATTAGAGACAACATGTTATGTGAAGAGTGTTAATGAATGGATATTTTTATTGGTTTTCTCCACCAGGCCTTGTTAATTCACCACCGCGGCAGGCGGCGGAGGGTTATGTGCATTTGAGTGCACCATCACCAATTGGCTATATCACCAAGGCTGATACTGCTGGGTGCCCCCACCATCATCACCCTTTCGAAAATAGAAGCAAGGGTAATGACTTGTGGAAACGATGGTAATTAATCATACTCTCATTCTAATTTCTTTGTGTCTTAGGTTTTGAACAAGTGAAAATAAATAATAATTTGAGGTCCACGTTTGTAAGTAATCCAAGCAATGACATTACTTAAAAGAAAAAAAATAATCACCATTTGGAAGGATTTTTTTACAAGGATAACAAATATAGTTGTGATTCTAATTTTGTATGAAAATCTATATAAAAATTAAACTATCTCTAATTTTGTTTTGTTATATGTCATAATTAATCAGGTTTGAGACATTTGAAAGGTAATATTAATTGATAACGTGGTGCCCGACATGCTTAAAAACATTTTTGTTAACTATATAAAGATGTAGAGTGTCAGTTTTGATCTTTTTGACATTATGTCACGAATTAGATAATTATGTTATCGAGCGTTTCAAACGCTCCTTGAAAATGGTATATATAAGCTAGATGAAATATAACCTTCCATAAGTAAAATAAGAAAGTAAAACTAATAGAAGGAACTCTTACATTCTTAAATTATTTAACCCCAGTTTTTTTTTTTTTTTTTTTTGCAGTTTTGCTGCCTTCTGTTGCTGCTGGTTAGATCAATTCAGGTCGTTAATTTTTATAATTTGTATTGATCGTCCACTAAAACAAAAAAGCAAATGTAATTGTGTACGTGTAGATATGTGATTACTTTGAAAAGTTCATTACAGCATATGCAAAAATCTATTATTTACATCCCTTATTCCAAACAAAACAATTGCAAACATATCCTACTTATATTTGGCCAATTTTATTTATTTTTTCGAAAAGTTTCTCTCACATATTATCCTTTAAAAAATAGTTAATTTCATTTGCTCTTGAGAGGTAGTTATTTTTAGAAATTACTAAATATTTCTAAATTAAAAAATAAAATTTCTGCCAAAAAATATAAAATAACTCTTTATAAATGTAAAAAAAAAAAAGAAAAAAGAAAAAAAGAAGCCAAATATCAACTAAAACTCAGATTAAATAAGCCAAAATATCACTCATTTTCGTGTTCGTTCTTCATTCATCATTCGTCAACAGCCAACAAAACCCAGCGTCTAAATATGGCAACAAATTTGTTGAGGGAGACATGATAATTGTTGACATGTGAATGACTGTACAAGCTATATTTGGAAGATTTGTAATATTGTCCAAGTATGGTAGTTTAGGTAGAATTATATTATTGCCTTGTACGTATTGATTTACATTTATTTATTTTATTTCCTTACATGTTACATTTGCAATTGTATAAATCATAACTCTTGTACATGAAATATATATACAAAAATCATTCTTCTCTCTTTCTTTCCTGCTTATACTCTCTCGGCATACTCAACAACTTTAGTTGGTTCTCTTGCCTCTCTTCTTCTTGCACTCTTTGGTAATTCAGTTGCCTTTTCATACTACTCCAATATCAGATTCTTACATGGTATCAGAGCAGGTTGCCCTGCCAACCACTCTCCTTGTTGAGTGCCAATAATCCAACTCTTGTCCCTTTTTCCTGCAAAACAAATTCTAGGATTAGTCCTTCAAAACCAAATGGATCCAAAACAAACAAACCCAATTGGGCCTGATCCAACAAACAACCAAACTGATCCAAACCCACACTGAAACAGCCAAGCCAACCCAAACACACAAACATACCCAAATATTGAGCCCAATCAAGATAACCAAACCAGGCCCAACCCAAATACTTTTCCAGGCCCAAACACTTTTCCTTTCGGGTTTTCGGGTCAAACCGGCTTGAACCCATTTCCCTACCAATTCCAGATCTTACAGCCCTAACCTCGCTGACTGGAGCCCGACGATCCTCTCTATTCCTCCCCATCTGATGGACTAGAGCTTGTTCTGGTTAAACACGTTCTCACCGGCATAGAGAACTACGCGACCTGGGCTCGCGACTTCCGGCGGGCATTAATCGCCAAAGATAGAGACGGGTTTATAGGTGGCATCGTCATACCACTGGAAGAACCCGATCTCCACAAACTTTGGACCAGATGTAACATGCTGGTCCGTTCGTGGATCGGCAACTCCCTGACCTAGGAGATTGCCGCTGGTTTACCTCCAACAGAAATCGCCGAGGAGCTCTGGTGATTTATCAAGGAGATGTATGGCCAGTTGGATCTGGCCAAACTCTTCACTCTACGGAAGAGTCTCGTCGATGTCAAACAACAGAATCAGACCATGACGGTCTATTACAATCGACTCTTGGCCTTGTAGAATGAGCTTGATGCTGTCATTGATCCTCTTCGTGGACCACCGGAAACACTATAGCAATTCCATTAGATCAAGGAACAAGATCGTTTAATCCATTTTCTCCTTGGATTAATTATAATTTCCTGGCTTTTCGCACCCAAATGTTGGCCACCACATCACTGATGTTCCTCCGTCGTGTATACCAACTTGCTGTCCAGGACAAGAGTCAACACCTAGCCTCCATGGAATCACCCCTTCTCGCCGACAGAGAAACCAAAAGGGAAGGGTTGCGGCTAGGTTTTCCAAATGAGAAAGAGAAGGGTAATGTTTTATACAAAGCAATGAATGGCCAGGATCATCTCCAGCAATCTGACGGCCCATAACCAATCAACCAAGTCAATGGAGTCAACAGTACACTTGGTCAAACTTTGGGAAATTTGTCTAATGGCTCATATTTCATCAACTCTCAGAGTGGATCAATTAGTTCAGGATCATCCCGATCGAGTAGAAAAATGTATTGTGACTACTGCAAAAGGCAGAACCACAATTGGGACAGATGCTGGAAATTACACGGTTACCCTAATGACAAAATTGGCAATCCGATCGCAAATAGTGTTACTATCACTACCACATCAGGATCTGAGGCCCAATCATCCTTGATCAAGCCTAAACAAATCACTCAACTCATCCAGATGCTGAATCAACTCCCAACAAACAAAGCTTTCGCTAGTTATGCAGGTACATCTTTTTGTTTCAGTAATTTAATTTCCCGTGATTTATGGATTATTGACTTACGTGCTAGTGATCACATAATTTGTGACCTTAAATATTTCCAATCACACACAAACACTATTACACAATTATCCGTTCAAATGCTGAATGGTAATATTGCCAACTAGGGGTGTTCAAAAGAACCGGTTGGAACCAAACCGGTGGGTACCCTGGGTTTAGTTCCGGTTCCTACCCAAAACCAGTCGTCAATGGGTAGGTTCCGGTTCCAAATTTTTGGAACCGTTACTGTGCAGTTCCGATTCCGGTTCCTATAGTTAGGAACCGGAACCAGAACCAGGAACCAGGAACCGAGACTAATATAAAATAAAATTAAAGATTAGGGGGGTTGATAAAAACTTTTGTAGAAAAAGTAATGTGAATACATTTATATTTATATTTCATAACATCTAAAGTAAGTTGGTTTGACTTTTGAGAATCTATCTTTACAAAGTAATGGAGTTTGTAATTTTGAATTTATAATTTGTAATTTTATTTTTGTTAATAAGTGCCAGGTGGGGGGGTATTTGTAAGTTTTTAAGGGTTTTTTTTGCCATTTTAAAAACTTTTGGGGGGTCATGTAATTTTACAGGATACCCAGAACCGGAACCGGAACCGTTGTTACAGGTTTTGGTTCTGGGTATCTAGGAACCGGAACCGTCGGTTCCGGTTCTGGTTCCAAATTTCAAGGAATCGTCGATTTCGGTTCCGGTTCCTTCAAAAAGTGCAGGGTACCCGGAATCGAACACCCCTATTGCCAATGCAACCCACACAGAGGTAGTCAAATTTACTGAAAACATAACTCTCAGAAATGTCATTTTTGTCCTTGCTTTCAATTTTAATCTCATAAATGTATCCAAATTTTGCATTGACAATGATTGCACATTGCAATTCCTTCTGGATGTGTGTACCTTTCAGGACCCTTTGACTGGCAAACAAATGGGCTTGGGTAAGGCCCACCAAGGTCTTTACTACTGGGAGCCATTTTCTTTTCATAGAAATAAAAACTATTATTGTAATGCCAATTTTAATAATAAATCTATACTTTTCCATCAAAGAATGGGTCACAGTGCATCTATACCTCACTCTAATGTCCAACTTGTCCCATTGCTGAACAACCAAGAACAAGTTTTTCCATTAGCACATCTTCCACTAACCACCCTTTTGCCCTAATCCATCTTGATATCTGGGGCCTATACTCTATTCCCAATCGTGATGGATCTAGGTATTTCCTTATCGTCGTGGATGATTTTTCACACGAAACCTGGATATTCTTAATGCAATCCAAAGCTCAAGCATTTTCTCATATCCTTAACTTTCTCTCCATGGTCTAAACACAATTCAAAACACGGGTTCAAAGGGTTAGGATTGACAATGCTTTAGAATTTTTTAACCAGCAGTGTTCTTCCTTGTTCCTTTCCCATGGGATTCTCCACGAGAGTTCCTGTACTTATACTTCTCAACAAAATGGGATTGTTGAACGAAAACACCGTCACCTCTTACAAGTAACCTGAGCCATCAAACACCAAGCCTATATCCCCACCACCTTTTGGGGCGAATGTGTGATTACGGCTACCTATCTCATTAATCGCATGCCTTCACAGGTTATTGGAGGTAAAACTCCTTTTGAATTATTGTTTGGAAAGATACCTGATAACACTCACTTATGAGTTTTTGGTTGTTTATGTTATTCCACCATAGTAGGTTCTCGTGACAAGTTTGCTCCTCATACTAGGAAATGTATTTTCATGGGCTATCCTATGCTCCAAAAAGGATATCGCCTTTATGATTCTGAACTTAACAAATTCTTTGTAAGCAAAGATGTTGTCTTCCACGAGAGTTTTTTTCCTTTCTCGGAAAGTGCCACTGCATCCCCTCAATCAGCTCCTGCCTCATTAGATCATCAGCCAGATACTCCCATCACTGTGGTTCCCATTCTGCTTCCTCAGCCAGAGTCTGATCATACTCCTGATTCACATCCTGACTCCACAGTTTTCGATACACCTCCAGGATCTCCCCACACCACAGATCCTTCCTTTTTGGGTCCCACTCAGGATACTTCCCCACCTATAGATATGGATATTCCTACTCCTTCACCAACCACTGTTCCTTTATGCCGGTCTTCCAGAGCTACCCGGCCACCTGTCTGGACGGCTGATTACCTTTGTTCCATTGTGGAATGTACTACTTATCCCACATCTAAATATGTCAGTTTTGACAGATTATCTCCTGGACACAGATTCTGTGTGAGCAATATTTACGCTGATCGAGAACCAGTCACGTTTTCTGATGCCGCTTAACATGATTGTTGGCATCAGGCTGTGGAGACAGAATTAAATGCTCTAGTCAACAATCACACATGGGACCTCGTTTCCTGAACCTCACACAAGAACCCTATTGGTTGTTAGTGGGTCTACAAAATCAAATATCGTGCTGATGGTTCCATCGAAAGGTATAAAACTCGTTTTGTTGCCAAAGGCTTCACTTAACGGGAAGGGTTTGACTATCAGGAAACCTTCTCCCTTGTAACGAAACATGTCACTGTCTGTACATTCCTTTCTATAGCTTCTTACCATGATTGGCCACTCCATCAGATGGACGTCCATAATGTCTTTCTCTATAGGGATCTTGATGAGGAGATTTATATGGACATTCCTCCCGGTCTTCGTAATCAGGGAGATAATCTTGTATGTCGATTACAGAACTCTTTATATGGGCTAAAGTAAGCATCACGGCAGTGGAATGCAAAGTTTACAGAAGGTCTCACAACCATTGGATTCACTCAATCCAAGCATGATTATGCCCTATTCTCCAGACAAAA